GCAGTCTGCTTCCATAAAGATTACAGCCTTGGAAACTCTATGGGACAGTTCTACTCAGTTCCTATAGGGTCACTATGAGTCAGAACTGACTCAATGGCAATGGTTTTTAATCTATGTAAAGGTGCCCTGGTGGCGCAATGGTTAGGCACTCAGCTGACTGCCGAATGGTTGGCAGTTTAAACCCAGCCAGCAGCTCGACGTGAGAAAGACCTGGTGATCTACTCCCATAAAGATTACAACCTAGAAAACTCTATGGGGCAGTTCTACTCTGAAGCATGGGGTCACTATGAGTAGAAAACGACTCTACAGCACCCAACAACAACAACCTAAGTAGGAGTCCCTGAGTGGAGTAAACAGCTGGTAACCAAAAGGTTAGTGGCTGAAGTCTACCCAGAGGCTTCTTGGAACAAAGTCCTGGTGATATGTTAATATGTGTATTGAATGCAATGAGTAAAACATGCAGACCATCATAAAGTCCTAGGATAATCAGAATTTTGTAGAAAACTATAGTATTTGCCCTTCTGCTTAAATATGGAGCCCTGTTTCACTGATACCTGCTGGGTAGAATTTAAGAAAGATCATACAAAGAAGGAACTTTTAAAAGCATACAGTAGTTTAATTTTTGTGAAAAAAATTATCTAGAAAAAAACACAGTCCTCCCCCTAAAGAGTTCTACGATATTATAATTTGCTATATCAAGACTTGTAAAGCTGAATCTCACTTGAGATATCAAAATAGACTCCCTAAAAACAAAAGCCAAACAATAACAAAATACAAATCTGAACTGTTTATTTGTCTGCATGATTACTTTACTTTTTCAGATGGCCTAGATCTAATCCGGTCCATAGCACCTGACCTAGGTGTTCTAATTTAATCACATCAATAGCACAGTGGTGTTCAGCATCTTTGCTTGACTCAGTTTGTGCCAAGAATGTGACACTCTCTCTCTTTCCTAGGTCTTAAAAAATAGAGACCACTATAATAAAAACTCAAGAAAAGGTTTATACACAGAATAAAACAATCTTTGATGGTTCTGAGGGAAGAGGGGAGGGAAAATCACTAACTAGATAGTAGAAAAGTGTTAACTTTGGTGAAGGGAAAGACAACATACAATACTGGGCAAGTCAGCCCAATTTGTCCAAGGCAGTCGTAGAAGCTTCCTAGACACATCCTAACACCTTGAGGGACTGAGTTTCTGGGGCTGAGGGCTAGCGACCATCTAGGTCAAATGGCATAACATAGTTCATAAAGAAAATGTTCTACATCCTACTTTGGTAAGTAGCATCTGGGGTCCTAAAAGCTTACAAGCGGCCATCTAAGATACATCTATGGTCCCATCCAGTCCAGAGCAAAGGAGAATGAAGAAAACCAAAGACACAAAGAAAATACTAGTCCAAAGGACTAATGAACCACATGAACCAAGTCCTCCACCAGCCTGAGCCCAGAAGAACTAGATGGTGCCCGGCTACCACCACCAACCACTCTGACAGGAATCACAATAGATGGTCCCAGATAGAGCAGGAGAAAAACGCAGAACAAAATTCAAATTCACAAAAAAACACCAGACTTACTGGTCTGACAGAGACTGGAGGAACCCCTGAGATTATGGCCCTTGAGCACCCTGCTAACTCAAAACTGAAGCCACTCTCAAAGTCCATCTTTCAGCCAAAGATTAGACAGGACTATAAAACAAACAATAACACACATGAGGAACATGCTTCTTAGTTCAATGAAGTATACAAGACCAAATGGGCAACATCTGCCCAAAAGCAAAAATGAGAAGGTAGGAAGGAACAGGAAAGTTGGGTCAATGGACATGGAGAACCCGAGGTGGAAAGGGAAAGGGGGACAGTGCTGACACATTGCAGGGATTGCAACCAATGTCACAAAACAATTTGTGTATAAATTTTTGAATGAGAAACTAATTTGCACTATAAACTTTCACCTAAAACACAATAAAATTTAAAAAAAATTTTCACTGATCTATCAAAGTAATTTTGTGTTTATTTCAGGCAATTTTTAAAGGTGAATTCTTAATTTGTATATACTCCTAAATCAAATATTTCAAAAAAATTTTGGACTCAAGATAATAGGAAGTATACCTAGTGCCCAGATTATAGGTCTCTTATCCATTTCATACCAAAAGGAATGAGAACCCATAGAGAAATGGCTGGTCTAGGAGGTGGGGAAGAGAATACAAGGTGAGTCCCAGAATATCTTCTTATGCCAAAAAGCAAGGAAGTTTTTAAAAGTAATGGGACCATGTCAAAAAGACACGGGCCAGCTTGAACGGGCCATGACTATAACCATTTGAGCATCAAAAAGAATAATGCTTGTAGTGGATAAAACACATTTAATCAATTAAAATATATGCATACATATGCAAAAAGAGAATGCTGGAAATATTAATACTAATATCAGCATTTTTAGTGGCTATTAAAGCAACTCCTTCAAGAATTGGTAAAGGGAAAGAACTAAGCATTTATTCTGCCTTTCTAGGTGGTGTAGTGGTTAAGAGCTTGGCTGCTAACCAAAAGATTGGCAATTCGAATCCACCAGCTGCTCCTTGGAGACTCTATGGGGCAGTTTTACTCATCCTATAGGGTCGCTATGTGTTGGAATTGACTTGACAGCAACGGGTTTGGTTTGGTTTGGTTTTGGTTAACTGCCCTAGTTAATGAAGAAAAAGCTTTACTTTACAGAAGGATATTAAAGGAATGACAGAATTTTTAAATCATCATTCCACAACCACTAAAGCAATTATTGATTCAGGCAAGGATTTTCAAATGATATTATAAGCTACTTATACAGTGTCAAGGAGCCCTGGTGGCACAGTGGTTAAGTACTTGGCTGCTAACCGAAAGGTCGGCGGTTCGAACCCACCAGCTGCTCCTTCGAAACACTATGGGGCAGTTCTACTCTGTCCTATAGGGTCGTTATGAGTCAGAATTTACTTGACAGCCAACGGGTTTGGTTTTGGATTTTATTTGGTGTCAAAGTAACACCACAGGTTGTAAAGGAAAAAACATAACAACTGTACAATGGAGGGGTTAGGGTGTCTACAATGGGTGATCCAGATGTCATATGTGTCCTGATATAAAGCGATACTCAGTAAACAACTTCACTCATGATATATTCTAGCCAAAATATTTAACTTAAATCCAGCCTTTAAAACTTACCTCCAGTTTATAGGAAACATTAAAACCAAAGAAACAAGTTAAACATCACGAACAAGAAAAAAGACAAATCCAGAAGATGTGACATTCTGCAAAACCAATGGCACTGCTTCTTCAACAAGTCAGTATTTTGAAACAAAATACTGGGGAGGATGAGCAAGGTTAAAAAAGACTTAAGGGGTAAAACAACCAGGTGCAGTGTATGGTCCTGTGCTGGATCCTAGTCTGAACGAAGCAACGAAGTTTCAAAGACGTGTTGGGAAACAACTGGGGAAATTTAAATATGATCTGGCTATTAGATAAAATGAAAACATTGTCATGAAAATATTCGATCATTAAGCAAACAGATTAAAATACAGCATGTATAATATGACAATATTTTGTAACAAATACCTATATGTATACCTACGTACCTGGTGGGACAGTGGTGAAGAGCTACGCCTGCTAACCAAAAGGTCAGCAGTTTGAATCCACCAGCTGCTCCCTGGAAACCCTATGGGACAGTTCTACGAAGTCTTATAGGGTCACTATGAGTCAAAATTGACCCAATGGCAACAGGTATACCTATGTGCCTAAAAAAAATGTCTAGAACGATATACACTAACGTGTTAAGAGTGGTGATGTCTAAGTAGTAAGGATATGTTTTATTTCCTTATTTTTGCTTTTCTGTATTTTCTAGCTTTCTACAATGCACATGTCCTGTTTCTGTAATAATAAAAATTAAATAAATAGAAGCCTCCAATAAGTCATTTTTCAGCTTCTGAAGACAACATAACAAAGTTGAAAATATTCTGGACAAGGACTGAGGACATCCAAGTTGTAATTTTGGCACTGTGAATGACCATTGGGCAAATCACCTAGTCTTTCTAAATTGGGTTTAGCTTCCTCGTCTGTTAAACTAGAATATCTCACAGTTAAGAATAAATTAATAGGTGTGAAACATTTTATAAATTCTAAAACATGATTCTGAAAAAAAAAGTGATTGTAATATTATTAGCATACAGATTGCAGAACTAACAATACTAGAGTCAGACAACACTGTAATTCAAAGATTCCTTCCAGATTTCTGAATTACAGTACTAAGATGTCTTTATCTCAGAGCTGCCAGGATAATATGCTGGCCTAGAAGTCACATCGCAGAACTTGTGCTCTCCCAATCCCAGATATCAGAGTTATTTCCCCAGCGACGTAACTTTGATATATCACAACCATGTCAGAAGGAACGTCTGAAGCAGAGAGTTGGCCGTTTGCTGCTACTGAAATAGTTGTTTTCGTTTTCTTCTGTAACATACTCATAATAAACTCCGTTTTGTCAGGACATCTACTGCTTATAAGTCCCATCAGTACTGCTTCTGCTGAAAGCTGGTCTCTTCACTTTTTGTTCAGATTTTCCTTCCCAAGATGAAGTTTGGCTTTCATAACCACCACCAGTGAGAGTGCTTTTCTTTGTGCTATCAGTGGCAAACAGAGCAATCCCATTATGTTAGATGTAATGTTTGCATACTCCAATTCTTGTTATTAGTGACCAGTATTTAGGACTTGAAACTTTAATTCCTGAGAGAGCTTGATTCTATGAATACTTAAGGTTTCCGGAAAGGAGACTTCCAGATAAACAGTGTTACTGTACATGCTTTTAACATGCTAACTGGTCAAAAGATAATCATGCATCATAAAGGATCTTTTCTGTTTTCCTGTTTTAGGCTTTCAAACACTCAACTCAAATTCTAGAAGTTATTAAAAGCAAACATCACTTTTAATTGAGGCCCAAAGACAAAAGGACAGCAGGAATCAATTTGGGAGAAGAGATGAACACATTTACAGTACCTTTTAAAGCTTCCGTTTCTATGTCTACTAACGGCTTCCCCACATAGGCAATCTCATCTAGATTATAATAGAGTTTTTTGATGACTCCATCATAACGACTAGTGATGGTAACAGAAGCCTTATCACTTTGAACTTCACAGATGCTATCAAACTGAGACACTGTATCTCCTTCTTTTACATACCTAAAGAAAAAAGACATAAGACAACTGTTTCATGGAAAATTATAAGAACAGACCATCCTAACAATGTAAATGCCATATTGAGTTAGATCAGTATCCATCTAACCCAGCACTTAGTCCCAAAAGGTTCACCAAAGAATGTTACATAGAAGATAATAATAGAGTCTCTTTGGATGTACCTCCGAGACACACTAAAAATTTTAAAAACCATCCATAGATCTATAATCCAGTATTTTAATTAAACTTTCAGATTTTCTGCCTGACCCATTTTTTTGGGAAAAGAGGTTCCAAAAATATATTTTTAAATGTTATTCCTTTTGTTGTCTTTTACTGGCCTTTTTCAAACTTTAAGAAATGCCCATTATTTCTAGAATTAAGTCAGAAAATTGATGTTCCCAATCCACATCCTTTATGATTTCATGAATTTTAGGTATGAGTTTTCTCAGTCTTTCTTTCTAGCCTGCCCTCATATATCAGCTCTTTAACCCACTAATCGTTTTAGGTATAGCTTACAAGGCTCTCCTAGATATCCTTAGCAAATAGAACTGGAGGAATGGGACCAAACTGGAAATACTACACATAATTTTGATTCTAATACTACTCTTGATGTGTCTAACACACATTTCTGACTTATTTCTATCAATTCTCCATTAAGATAATTTTCAGTAATTCTTACTTCTGTATTCCTCAGTTCTCTAAATGATAAAACATTACCAATGACATAGAAACTAAGTTTAAAAGCACATACAGCAGACTTTCACTTCTGGAATGGCAGAGTAAGGACCTCCAAAAATCTGTTCCTCCATAAAAGCAAAGAGTAAACTGGCAAAAATTGTCAAAAATCAACTTTTTCAGAATTCTGGAAATTAAAAAAGGCCTGCAATAATCTGAGAAGCAGTTATTTAGGAAACACAACTGAACCTCATTAAAAAGAGGAAGCTTTGTGTTTTAACCTGCCCTATTCCCACACCCAAAGGAGAACTGGTGGCACCGTGGTTAAGCTCTCAGCTGCTTACTGAAAGGTTGTTGGTTCAAACCTACCAGCCGCTCCACAGGAGAAAGATGTAGCAATCTTCTTCTGTAAAGATTTCAGCCTTGGAAACCCTACGGGGCAGTTCTACTTTGTCCTATAGGGTCGCTATGGGTTGGAATCAACTCAATGGCAATGGGTTTATTCCCACCCCTCTTTCCTCAGCTCAGCGGTAGCCTTGAAAACCAGGCAGCCTTGCAACCATAGTAGCTGGGAAACCTGGCGTTTGCATTGGTTGGAGCCCTAGTGGTGCAGTGGTTAAGCGTTCACCTGCTAACCAAGAGGCCGGCAGTTCGAGTCTACCAGCCGCTCCTCAGAAACACTATGGGGCAGTTCTACCCTGTTCTATATGGTCGCTATGAGTCGAATCTACTTGATGCAACAGGTTTGGTGGTTCTTTTTTTTTTGGTCCCTGGAAGCGGCAGATGGGATTTGGAGCTCCTGAAAAAAGCCCCTCCCCAGAGATCTGTCATTATTTGACTTGTCTGGCAGTTCCCTAGAAAAATCTGATTCACAGGGCTTGTCTTTATTTGACCTGACAGAGAGCTCCCCAGGGTATTTGCTGAAAAAAATCAGCAGCAATTATTTAAAGTCACAGCTGCCTGAGGCAGCAAAATCAGTTGAGGCAAACATGAGGTTAGTTAAAAAAATCTTAAAAGGAAGATCTGGGTAATGATATGTCCATTGTTGTTGTTTTGTACCCTACAGTCAATTCCAACTCATAGCAACCCTATAAGAATAGAACTGCCCCATAATGTTTCCTAGGCTATAATCTTTAAGGTGAGTTCAAACTGATCTTTCAGTTAGCAGCAGAATGCTTAACCATTGCCCACGAGGGCTCCTTTGAAATGTCCATAGGTGTTCACCATGTCCAAAGCTTTGAAAAGCTCTGACATAGTCCAAGAAATCTATCAGGGCACACAAATGTACAGGGTTGCGTACATGCCCTGGAAAGACCTGAGAGAACCCTAATCTTTTATCTCTGGTTGACTCTGAGGCCCTGGGTAATCAAGATGTAAAGGCTAAGGCACAGCACTGAAGGCATGCCTAACATGTACACAGAGTCACTTGGCAAAGGGTCAAAGACTTATTGGTTCAAAATATTTAAGGAAATCTCTGTCCAATCATTAGCTGACCGCTAACCTAAGCGAGAAGAGACTTCAGTGGCCATACACAAAAGGGAATATAGACTACATAAAAGTAGTCCAAGGAAGTCACTAAACAAACAAACAAAAAACAACCAAAAAATCAAGAAGAAAAAACTCTGGGAGGGAAGGAATCTGATTTCTAGAGTTGCCACATTACTTAAAATGTCCAGTTTCCAACAATAAATTACAAGATGTGCAAAGAAACAAGAAAGTATGGTCTATCCACAGGAAAGAAACAGTTAACAGAAACATCTTTGTCCAAGCCCAGATGTTGGACTGACTAGACAAAGACTTTATTATCAACTATTACAGTGAAACCTGTGAGAGTCGGAACTCAGTGGGACTGCCTTGTTTTTCTGGGTCTTCCAAATTTTCTAACTTTGATAGGTGCAATCTTACCACTTCTCTATCACTCTCTATCAGTGGAAAATATTTGAGTTTTCCTTCTCTGACAAGTTTTCGCCTTGCACAGGTCCAGCTTTCTCAGGTTTTACTATATAAATATATTCACAGAACTGAGGGAAACCATGTCTAAAGAATTAAAGGAGAGTATACAAGTTATGTCTCACCAGTAGAGAAGATGAATAAAGAGATAGAAATGTAAACAAATTATGGAATTAAAAACTACAATGACTGAAATGAAAAATTCACTGGAGGGACTCAACACCAGATTCTAGCTGGTAGGAAAAAAAAAATTGTGAACTTGAAGATAGGTCAGTTGAGATTATTCAGTCTGAGGAACAAAAAGAAAAAAGAATGAACAATGAACAGAGCCTCAGAGACCTGTGGGACACCATCAAGCATACTAAAAAAAAAAAGAAAAAAACCAAACCTGTTGTTGTCAAGTCAATTCCAACTCATAGCAACCCTACAGGACAGAATAGAACTGCCCCATAGGGTTTCTAAGGAGCGGCTGGCTGGTAGATCTGAACTGCCAACCTTTCGGTTAGCAGCCGAGCTCTTAACCGCTTCGTCAAACGTACTAACATATGCATAATGGAAATCCCAGAAGGAGAGGAAAGAAAGGGACAGAAAGAACATGAAGAACTAATGGCCAAAAACTTGTCCAATTTGATGAAAAACATTAATGTACATATCCAACTAGCTCAAGGAAATCCAAGTAGGATAAACTCAAAGAGATCCATCCTAGACACATCATAATCAAACTGTTGAAAGACAAAGACAAAGGGAGAATCTTGAAAGCACAAGAGAGAAAAACAACTCATAACATACAAGAGATCCTCAATAAGATTAAAGAACTGACTTCTCATCAGAAACCATGGAAGTCAGAAGGCAGTGGAATGACATTCAAAATGCAAAAAGAAAAATACTGTTAATCAAGAATTCTATATCCAGCAGAATTACTCTTCAAAAATAAAAAAGAAATTAACAGATTTCCAGATACACTAAAGTTGAGAGAATTCTTTACTAGCAGAACTACCTTACAAGAAATACTAAAAGGAGTCTTTCAGAATAAAATGAAAGGACACTAGACAGTAACTCAAAATCTACACAAAGAATTAAAGAATGCTAGTAAAGGCAACTGCAAGGAAAATTTAAAAGACAGTGTAAATGTATTTTGTTTGTAACACTTTTTTTTAATTATATCTGATTTACAAAATAATTGCATAAAGCAATGATTATAAAACTATGTTGATTGGCTTATAATGTTTACAGATAAAGTATATATAACCATAGCAAAAGAGGGGGAAAGGAATGGAGCTATATTAGAGCAAAGTTCTTGTATACTGAAATTCAGTTGGTATTAATCAGATATACAGTGTTTTTAGGTTAAGATGTTAGTTGTAATCTTCAGGGCAATCACTAAGAAAATATCTCAAAAAATACTGTAAAAGAAACAACAAGGGAATTAAAACAGTACACGAGAAAATATCTATTTAACATTAAAAAAAGAGGCAGTAATTAAAGAATACAGGAACAAAAAGCATATAAATATACAGAAAAGAAATAGCAAAATGGTAAGCTACCTTATCAATAACTACATTAAATTTAAATGAAATACTCCAATAAAAAGGCAGAGATTGACAGAATAGATTTTAAAAAAAAGTGATCCAATGATAAGTTGTCTACAAGATCAACACTTTAGATTCAAAGACACAAATAAGTTGAAAGTAAAAGGATGGAAAAAGACATACCATGTAAACAGTAACCAAAAGAGAGATGGAGTGGCTGCACTAATATCTGACAAAAAAGATTTTAAAACAAAGCAAATATAGAATCCAAATCTTTGTTTTAGAACTTTGTCAAAGGCCTTTTAAAATTATTTTTAAAGTATTTTTCTTCATCATCCATACATTTGCTCCCACAAATTCTAAGAATGAATGAGTTATTATTGTTCCTTATAAAAAACCATACTACCTTCTATTAAGTTATATTTCCTTACATGCTCCTATTCTCAGGTTCCATTCTGTAGGAAAGAACTCTGCTTTTTAGCATTTTACCAAGTGCATACTATTGCTATATCTATATATATGTGTGTGTGTGTTCATGTTAAGATTTATAGCTATTAAGTTAGAGAAAAAACACACAGAATTCAAGACACAGCTCTTAGTATTTCTTAAAGAACTTCTGAAAAACTTTAATCAAATGATTTGTGTCTCACTTAAATAACTATTAGATTTTCATAAGGAATGAAATGATCTCCTCTTGCAAGAACTTTAAATCCCATACTAAGTATACTGGTCCAGAGAGTTAATAAGAGGAAGAAATTAAGAAATGTTAAAAAAATAATAACATTAAAAACCTAGAAAGAATCGTCCTGGTCTTAGAAAGAAGGTATCACTAACTTAAATGTACATAGTACTTTGTAGATTTTAAAGGTATTTTCTATACATTACATTATCTGATCCTTTCAACAATCCCTGTGAGATGATAGAGCATCTCATTTTATAGATTTTACATTTTACCCTCATTTTACACATTAAGAGGTAGAGGATCAGGAGAGACCAAGGAAATCACAGGTAAGAGGACTAGTAAGTTTCAGAGTCAAGTTCCTCTGATTTGAAGTCCATTGGTCTTTCCACAGTTCTTGGATGCCACTAGAGACATTACTGTTGTTATTATTGTGTGCCATTGAGTTGACTGAGACTTATAGCGACCCTATAGGACAGGGTAGAACTGCCCCATAGGGTTTCCTAGGCTGTAATCTTTAAGGGAGCAGATTGCCAGGTCTTTTCCCCTGCAAAGCTGCTAGTGGGTTTGAACCACCAGCCTTTCGGTCAGTAGTCGAACGCTTAACCACTGCGCCACCAGGGCTCCTTGCAGACATTATTGTACGATATGTTTATGCTATTACGGTTCTCTTCTATCTTAAAAGCCATCATACCAGAATTTCAGGAAAAGAATGTTCAGGTGACTGAATCAGATTCTTAAAAGGATTTTTAACAATATAAAACTATAGTGGGAGAGAATTTATTTAATCCTCTTAACTGCTACTTTTTACAAATGTATAAAAGTTAGTTCAGTACCTAGAGGTGCTTCTATTTTTCCAGAAGGCAAAAGACGGAAGAAAAGGGGAAGAAGAATGACTAAGGCGGTAGAGGGCTTTTTCTGTTTTGTTTTAGGCCCATTCTTGGTATTATTTTTTTAAACTTTTTGAAAAATATAAATATATGTGTCAGGTAATGGTGAGTCAAAGATACTTCTATTCTTGCTGAAGGCATTTTCAGTATAGTAAAGAAAGTCAGACTATATGATAGTTTTCAAACAGTTTGGAAAAGAATTGTAGATTCATATATTATGTGCTTTTAAAAACACATGGTCTTCTATCAATTTAATATCCTTTAGAGGTTAATTTCTCTTTTTTAGCTGGAGTGGGCAGTGAAAGGATTTTTTACAAAGGAGAAGGAAAAATAATCCTTAATAAATCACATCAAATAAAATGCCATGATATATAATGAATTCTAGCACTAGCATATTGTCAACACAAACAGGTTCTACCTTGTTTTAAGAAAGCATCATGAAGCTGCATTAAGAAATTGCTCAATTTAAATAGGTTCCTACTTATTTTTATTCAACTTATTTTCATATTTACTTAAAAGTTTTTCAAATGAACTTACCATTCTTTAACAGTTACTTCTCTAATCCCTTCTCCAATGTCTGAGAGTTTGAATTGAACAACCTGTCCATGTAGAACTTCAAAGGCAAATGAGAAACGATCTCGTTATTTATGTAACGTATTGCTAATAGATACTTTTACATCTAAAATTAGAAAATGTTCTTAAGCATAGGCAGAAATTATTCCATCATACAGACAGAAAAATAGCATAATTCTTAAAAGTATAACCATCAATCATTACCATAAAAAATTTAAATTTGGGGTATCTTATGAAAAAATGGGGGAAAAAATTTAAGAGAGAAGTAGAGGGAGAGGAGCCTTTAAAAAAGAATAAGGAGTAGCCAAAGAAAATAGGCATTGTCTAAGTACTTCACATATTCTAATTTATTTAATCCACTCAAGTGTAAGGGTTTTTGTCGTTCACTGATATATCCCAAGCATCTAGAACAGTGCCTTGGCATATACTAGTAGGGGACCAACAAATGTTTGTTGTTGAATGAATTCTCACAACAATCCAATGAGGTAGGTATGATTATTCTTATTTTCTAGACGATGAAACAGAAATTAAGTAACTTGTCAAAGTTGCATGGCTAGTAATTAGTAGACCAGAAACCCAAATAGCCTGGAATTGGTAGAGCCAGGTACCCAAAGCTCATGATAAATACCTACAATATGGAGCAGGAAGTTTGGAATTTCTGATGAATGGCCTCACTTATCTCTGGGAAGTAAAAAGATCAACTTTTAAGAATAGAAATCTTTAAAAAAAAAAAAAAAAAGACAGTGGTAAAGGTAAGGTTTAAAGAGGCTGTTGTGGAGAATGACATAAAAGGCATAGAAGACAGATCTCAAGCATGGGGCCTTCCTGGAATTCCCCTATTTTTCAATACCAGCACAGACTAAGGCCCCACATATCTATCAAAAGCATATCTATCAAAAGTGTGATGATATAACAAAAGTCCAAGGTTCTTTATCAGAGGTCTAAATAGGTCATCAAGTTTCTAAATCGATCATCAGAAAAAAAAATTTTAGTGCCCTACCCAAATCTAATACTTAAGGTCTCAAGTTCTTTACAGAGGTTAGAAAAAGGCAATGTGCCCTCTTCTGTCAAGTAACAGGTTTCCAGAAAGCTGTTCCAAAACAGTTGGGAAGAAAGTAATTAAATGATAAAAGCCATGGGGCTTTCTATTTAGGAGCACCTCAGGTTAGTTTCATCACACTGTCTTAATATGATAGATCTAGTTCCTCACCCAACAAACAATAGTGGGCCAGTCAGAACAATGCCAGGGGCCAACTGCGGAACAGACCATCAATTGCTCATATGCAAGTTCAAGTTGAAGTTGAAGAAAATTAAAACAAATCCACCAAAGCCAAAGTACAACCTTGAGTATATCCCACCTGAATTTAGAGACCATCTCGGAAATAGATTTGATACGTTGAACACTAAAGACTGAAGACCAGATGAGTTGTGGGATGACATCACATATGAAAAAAAAGCAAAAGGTCACTAAAAGACAGAAAAGAAAGAAAAGACCAAAATGGATGCCAGAAGAGACTCTGAAAGTTGCTCTTGAATGTAAAGTAGCTAAAGCGAATGGAAGAAACAATGAAGTAAAAGACCTGAACAGAAGATTTCAAAGGGTGGCCTGAAAGACAAAGTAAAGTATTATAATGAAATATGCAAAGATCTGGAGTTAGAAAATTGAAAGGGAAGAACACACTCAGCATTTCTCAAGCTGGAAGAACTGAAGAAAAAATTCAAACCACGAGTTGCAATACTGAAGGATTCTATAGGAAAAAAACTAAACCACGCGGGAAACATCAAAAGAAGATGGAAGGAATACACAGTCATAGTACCAAAAAGAATTGATTGACATTCAACCATTTTAAGAGGCAGCATATGATCAAGAACTTATGGTATTAAAGGAAGAAGTTCAAGCTGCACTGAAGGCATTATCGAAAAACAAGCCTCCAGGAATGGACAGAATACCAACTGAGATATTTCAATAAATGGATGCAACACTGGAAGTGCTCGCTCATCTATGCCAACAAATTTAGAAGACAGTTACCTGATCAACTGACTGGGAGATCCATATTTGTGTCCAACAGAATGCGGAAATTATCGAACAATATCATTAACATCACACAAGTAAAATTTTGCTGAAGATAATTAAAAAACGGTTGCAGCAATACATCGACAGGGAACTGCCAGAAATTCAAGCCAGATTCAGAAGAGGACGTGGAACCAGGGACATCAATGCTGATGTCAGATGGATCTTGGCTGAAAGCAGAGAACACCAGAAAGATGTTTACCTGTGTTCTATTGACTATGCAAAGACATTCGACTGTATAGATCATAACAAATTATGGATAACATTGAGAAGAATAGGAATTCTAGAACACTTAACTGTGCTCACGTGGAACCTGTACACAGACCACGAGGCAGTCATTCTAAAAGAACAAGGGGATACTGCGTGGTTTAAAATCAGGAAAGGTGTGCATCGGGGTTGTATTCTTTCACCATACTTACTCAGTCAGTATGCTGAGCAAATAATCTGAGAAGCTGGACTATATGAGGAAGAATGCAGCATCAGGATTGGTGGGAGAATCATTATCAACCTGCAATATGCAGATGACACCACCTTGCTTGCTGAAAGCGAAGAGGACTTAAAGCACTTACTGATGAAGATCAAAGGCTACAGCCTTCAGTATGGATTACACCTCAACATAAAGAAAACACAAATCCTCACAACTGGACCAATAAGCAATATCATGATAAATGGAGAAAAGATTGATGTTGACAAGGATTTCATTTTATTTGGATCCGCAATCAATGCCCATGGAAGCAGCAGTCAGGAAATCAAAGGACGTATTGCATTGGGCAAATCTGCTGCAAAAGACCTCTTTAAAGTGTTAAAAAGCAAAGATATCACGTTGAGGACTAAGGTGTGCCTGACCCAAGCCATCGTATTTTCCATCACTGCATATGCATGTGAAAGCCGGACAATGAATAAGGAAGACCAAAGAAGAATTGATGCCTTTGAATTACGGTGTTGGCGAACAATATTGAATATACCATGGACTGCCAAAAGAATGAACAAATATGTATTGAAAGAAGTACAGCCAGAATGTTCCTCAGAAGCAAGGATGGCAAGACTTCATCTTACACACTTTGGACATGTTATCAGGAGGGACCAGTCCCTGGAGAAGGACATCATGCTTGGTAAAGTAGAGGGTCGGTGAAAAAGAGGAGGACCCTCAATGAGATGGACTACAACGATGGGCTCAAACACAGCAAGGATTGTGAGGATGGCGCAGGACACGGCAGTGTTTTGTTCTGCTGTGCCAAGGGTCGCTATGCGTCAGAACCAACTTGACAGCACCTAATAACAACAGTAACAGGTTGGTTTCATCACACCATCTTAATCTGACAGATCAAGTGCCTCAACCAACAAACAGCAGTGTATGAAACACATGAGGACAGAGACACGAAAATACTTTTATGAAGTTAACGATTTACCTTGACTGAGATAACCATCTCAATGCTAACTATTGCACTTAGGTGAGTCAGAAGAGATGGCCCAAGACAACCTATTCCCAACATTATGAAAATACAAGTATTATTAAAAGAAAGTATATGCGAAAGGGGTGAAGAAAAGAGAGAATGAGAAATGGACAGATGCAGGGAGAAGGGTAGAAATAAAGAGCTTTTTCCCCTGACTCTTAAATCAATTACTAAAAATAAAATACTTAATAACATAACAAAATACAAAACATTATTTTATATATGCTATTATGAGATTATACTTACCAGCGGTTGTTTTCAGTGACCGATGTGGATGACTATACTTGAATGAAGGATAACCGGAGAAATACACATATTTTGGCTTTAAAACATGAACGCTACTACATGTTTGAAAATAGCGAACCCAAATCTAGAGATGAGACAACAAAAAAGTAAAAGATTTTATAAACGATCTTTTATATTTTATATATTGAATTTCAAGTCTATCCTAAAAGTAGTACAACCCTTATTACAATATAAACAATATGAAATTATCTAGGCTGAAACCTGAATACATGGCAGCAGTGACAAGGAAGTTTATGAAGACTGGTTCTTAAGTATTTCTGTTCAAGAAATCAAAAGAACTCAAACCCTAGCACACAGAGAACGTTGTGTTGTTCTTTTGTTTTAGTAATATTATGTCCTTAGAGTCAGATTTGTTTATATGCTTATGACCCTTGTCCAAAATTTCTTATGAGAGAAAAGAAATTATAACAATGGATTCTGTGTGAACACATCAGCTTGTGCTAAGGTCATTAAAAATTTCCTGAAATAAAATCACTGAAGAATTAGAAAGTGAACTGTTAGCATCTAAAGACACTGAAAAAAAAAGTTTAGTATTGCACCCAAGTGAGTGACTTGATTTGGCTGTATTAAATTTATAAAAGGGAGCAAATATCTGGATAAGGAGTTTGAACTCATACATCATAGGTTATTGCAGAAACAGGATTAGGAAATTAATCTCGTAGTAGTTTACTGAATGGATAACAACAGGTAAAGCCTAAAAGGGAAGAAGTTAGGAAATTAGTATTTGACCAATGAAGTGACAGACTAGAATCAACAAAAGGGGCGAAACAGGTCTGAAGTTAGTTCTGGAGTCTACAGAGTTTTGAGGGTTAGTTCTGAAGCTTTAGTTCTGGAGCCTATAGAGTCTAATGTGCCTTGGAGGCCTGTGGCAGACTGTGAGATGGCTAAAGACCAGTTTTTCCAAGCTAGCAGTGGCCATGAGACACAGATCTAGTCAGTTTCTGACTAGTACTACTCCTTCCTCCTTTCCTGCTTGAACACAAAGTAAGAAGTTGTAGCAGCCCTCTTGTGACCCTGAGGGAAAGGCTGAGAGAATTGCTAAAATGACCACCCTGATATGAGCTACTAAATCAATGCCAGCTGCCACCTAACTTTGGGCTTCTTTGTATGTACTGATATTTAATGTATTAGTTGGGTTTTCATTATTTGCAATTGAAAACATACCCAATAAACATGTAATTGGAGATTTCCAGGAGGTAGTAAGATGGATATACGGGTCTGGAGTACAGCTGGGTAAAGACTGGGGAACTTTACGAATCATCAGCATATAGATGGTGACTGAAGCCAAAGAAGTATGGATAAGGTCACCCAGGAAGTGAAGAAGTGCAGAGGGCCAAAGTCAAAGCCCTTAGAAACACCAATATTTAAAAGTTGGGCAGGAAAAGTGGCAGGATTGAGAATAAGTGGCCAAAGCTGTAGAGAGAAAAATGCTGGGAAGTTGGTGTCACAGAAGCCAAAGACGGAAAGCTCTTAAAAGAGAAGTTAATGCTGCTAGGTGCTGCTGAGAAAAGCCCTCTTCTCCTAGTTACCTTCTACTCATCCTCGACAAGTCTCAAGTTATACAGCATTCTCTGGAAACACTTCTCTGACTCCCAGGTCCGTGGTAGGTGTCTCCTCCTATGTGTCCCATCATAGCACTTCTCATGCTGTGTTGTACTTGCTTGTTTAATATGTATCTCTGACACTCTCTACCGTCCCCAACCACAGGGCTGTAAGCTCTCAGAGGGCAGGAATGGTGTCTTATTCATATCGCACACCTAGCGCCTAGCACATTACCCGGTACATTGCAGGCTCCTGAAAGATTCTGTAAGATCAGGGGGCGACGACTACAAGAAGATCTAGAGAAAGCTTACTTAGAAAAACGCTGTGCAAACAGGATGAAAGAGCATGATTACAGTGATGGTCAGTGGTTGGTGCTAAAACAGTGTGTGTGAAAGAGGGCAGACGAAGAAGAGATGGTGGTGTGTTTCGTAGAACGAGTGATAAAAGGGTTGGAATAACAGGGAGTGCGGACATAGGAAAGAAGTACAGGTCAAAACAGTGAGGGAAGCTGGAGCCTCTCAGCTCCTTGGAGGCAAGGGCCCGTGGTGTTTTTACTTGCTTGCCCAATCTCTTCCTCTAGACTGTAAATTCCCCTAGGGTAGGGATCGTATCACCAGTGTCTAGCACATAATGGGTGCTCAATAAATGCTGAATGAACGTATATCCCTTTATCCCCAGCTCCTTTCATTCACAATGCCCGTCCCCTAGAAGCTGCTCAGTGAATGGATGGTCGGCGAAATGCTAGCGGGGTCTCGAGGTGCAGATGGAGCAGGAGGGTCACTGGGTCGCGGCAGAAGAGCGCAGGATAAGGGGAAGGAGTGGGTCTCCGGAGCGATCGTCTCGCCCCCTTAGTTTTGCAAACATCTGTCCACCTCTCCGTTACTCCTGCCCTCGGTGATGCGTAGCACTCAGGTCGGGCGAGATAAGGAGAAGGTAACACATCCCGCCCGGACGACTCCGGATAAACCACTCCTTCCCGACCTCCGATCTGCCCGAACCTCCTTACCAGCTGCCTGGCATTCCGGTTCCAGGCGCTCAAAACTCGTGCTGCAGCCATCTTACTCCGGAAATGACAATTGCCCCTTCGTCGGAAGAGACGCCTCCACAGAGAGACCTACCAGGAGCAGTGAAAAGCGCCTCCCCCTGAGCGACCAATCGGGAGCAAAGGTAAGAGCCTCCCACCAAACAGCCAACCAGGGCGCGGGGGCGGGGCTTGAAATAAACCTGGGCTCCTCGAGGCAAAGGAGAATGTGGGCGGGGAAGAAGTGGAGAGAAGAGCCGCCCGAATTTAATTTTAGAGGACAAAGTTGGAAAAGGTACTGGTGTGTAAGTACATATGTCCCAAAGATAGTCTTTTTAATCCCTGGAGGAGGACGCCATGCTTGATAATGTAGAAAACTAGAGGGTCAGCGGAAAAGAAGGAAGATCCTCAACCAGATGAATTGACACAGTGGCTGCGACATGGACTCAAACATGCCTACTGTTGAGGATGGCACAGGACCAAGCAACGTTTCTTCTGTTATACATAGGGTCGCTTTTGTTATGTTAACCACTGCGCCACCAGGGCTTGAAACACCCAAGTACACAATTTTATTTTTGTCTTCCAGTATATTTCACACACACACACAACATATTGTAAGCAGTAAATCTAAATAATTCCTTTCGTTTATCAGAAAAGCTGGGATTGACAAAAGAACCTCAATTTTTTAACTTTCGCATTTTATAGGCACTATAATATGTAGGAGGACCTCTAGTGGCGCAGTGGTTAAGAGCTGCAGCGTGCTACAGCTGCTAACCAAAAGATTGGCAGTTTGAATCCACCAGGCCCTCCTTGGAAACCTTGTGGGGGCAGTTCTACTCTATCCCATAGGGTTGCTATGAGTCAGAATTGACTCGACCGCAACGGGCTTGGGTTTTTTTTTTTTTTTTTAAATAACACATAGTGACAGCATCTCGTTCTGCTATACATAAGGTCACTATAAGTCAGAGCTGACAACTACAAACAACAATGGGTATGAAATTGTATCTTTTTATAGGTTTGATTTGCATTGTGATAAAGATATTGATCATCTTTTCTTGTGCTTATTGGCCATTTGTATATCTTCTTTGGAGGAATGTCTATTAAAATCATTTGCCTATTCAATGTTCTACCTTCTACCTTGATGAGTAGTGTCTGGGGTCTTAGAAGCCTGTGAGCAGCCATCTAAGATACTCCACTGGTCTCATCCCTTCGGCAGCAAGGGAGTGTGAAGAGAACAGGATACAAGGGAAAGATTAGTCCGAAGGACTAATGGACCACAGCTACCAAGGCCTCCACCAGACTGAGTCCAGTACAGCTAGATGGTGCCCGGCTACCACCACTGACTGCTCTCACCGGAATCACAACAGAGGGTTCTGGACAGAGCTGGAGAAGGATGTAGAACTAAATTCTAACTCACAAAAAAAAAGACCAGATTTACTGGCCTAAAGGAGACTGGAGAAACCCTGAGAGCACAGCCCCCAGACACCCTTTTAGCTCAGTGGTGAAGTCACTTCTGAGGTTCACCATTAAGCCCGGGATTGGACAGCCCCATAAAACCAAATGGGACTAACGAGGCACAGCAGTCCAGAGACAAGGACTAGAAGGCAGAAGGGGACAGGAAAGCTGGTGACAGGGAACCCAAGGTTGAGTAAGAATAGTGTTGATGTGTTGTGAGGTTGTTAACCATTGTTATAGGGCAGCATGTGTACTAACTGTTTAATGAGAAACTATTTTGTTCTGTAAACCTTCATCTAAAGTGAGAATAGCAGCACAATTGGAAGAGCATAGTCAATGTCACTGAACTGTGCATGTAGAAATTTTTGAAATGGTGTATCTTTGGCTATGTATATTTTCACCAAAAAAAAAAAAAGGTTGAGAAGGGAGAGGGTTGACATGTTGTGGGGTTGTTAACCAATGTCATAAAACAATATGTGTACTACTGTTTCATGAGAAACTATTCTGTAAACCTTCACCTGAAGTACAATAAAAAAAAAAAATTATTTGCCTATTTTTTAATTGGGTCATTTGTGCCAAGAGGCATGTGGGAAGAAAGGCTTGGTGACCTGCTTCTGGAAGATCAGCCATTGAAAACCCTACGGAACAGAGTTCTACTCTGACACACATAGGGTCGCCATGAGTCAGAGATGACTGGACTCCAACTGGAAAAAGACCCTTATCAGATAGATTATTTGCAAAAACTTCTCCTATTCTGGGACTTCTTTCTTGATAGTGTCCTCTGAACTACAAAGTTTTTTATTTTAATTAAATCAAATAACAATTTATCTATTTTTTTCTTTAGTTGTTTGTGCTTTTGGTACCATATCTCAGAAACTTTTGCATAATCCAAGGTTAGGAAGATTTAAACCTATGTTTTTTCTAAGCATTTTATAATTTTAACTCTTGCATTTATGTCGTTGATCCATTTTGAGTTAATTTTTGTGTATAGTGTGTGAGTAGAAAAAAAATCAAATCCCGGTTCTCACTTCTCTGCAATCTATTATCAACTGCTGGGAAAAGATGAAATCCCGTACCACGTGGTCTGACACTGTGGTGCAGTGAAGTACTTAATATGGCCCTTCTAGACATAGTCCTTGTGATGCCCACACAATGATTGGGTGGGACTATGCAAATAACATGTATGGAACCTGTGAGGATTAAGGTAATATGTCAACTTGGTTGGGCCATGATTTTCAGTGGTTTGGCAGTTATGTAATGATGTTGTTGTTTTTGCTGTTTTAGGTGCCATCTAGTTGGTTCTGACTCATAGTAACTCTAAGTACAACAGAACAAAACACTGCCTGGTCCTGCATCATCCTCATAATCATTGTTATGCTTGAGTCCATTGTTGCAGCCACTGTGTCAATCCATCTCAGTGAGGGTCCTTCTCTTTTTTGCTGACCCTCTACTTTACTAAGCATGATGTCCTTCTCCAAGGACAGGTCCTTCCTGATAACACGTTCAAAGTATGTGAAACGAAGTCTTGCCATGCTCGCTTCTAATGAGCATTCTGGCTGTACTTCTTCCAAGACAGATTTGTTCATTCTTTTGGCAGTCCATGGTGTATTCAACATTGTTCTCCAACACCATAACCCAAAGGCATCAATTCTTCTTCGGTCTTCCTTATTCATTGTCCAGCTTTCGCATGCACATGAGATGACTGAAAAATTGAAAACATTATGGCTTGGGTCAGGCGCACCTTATTCTTCAAGGTGACATCTTTGCTTTTTAACACTTTAAAGAGGTCTTGCAGCAAATTTGCCCGGTGCAGTTGTCATTTGATTTCTTAACTGGTGCTTCCATGGGCATTGATTGTGGACCCAGGTAAAATGAAATCCTTGACAACTTCAATCTTTTCTCCGCTTGTCATGATGTTGCTTATTGGTCCAGTTGTGAGGATTTTTGTTTTCTTAATGTTGAGGTGTAATCCATACTGAAGGCTGTAGTTACTGTTTGATCTTCATCAGTAAGTGCTTCAAGTCCTCATCACTTTCAACAAAGAAGGTTGTGTCGTCTACATAATGCAGGTAATGATGTAGTCATCCTCCATTTTGTGATCTAATGTAATTATCCCCCATTTTGTAATGTGTTGTAAATCCTAGCCTCTAGGCCTGTGGTTATGCTTCTAATGTTTTACTATTAAGAATGAAATTTGCTGTAGGTTTTTTCCAGATGCCTTTAATTAGGTTAAGGGAGTTTACAATTATTCCTAGTTTTGTTTAATTTTGCTTTTATCATGAATGGATGTTGTTTTTTTTTTTTTTTAATGCTTTTTCTACATCGACTGACATGATCTTAAATTTGTTTTCTCCTTTAATCTGTTGATGTGGTAAATTACATCAAGAGATTTTTCTAATGTTAATTAAGCTGATCTTTAACTCCTTCAGCCCCAGCTTAGTCTTAATGTACTGTATACATTGTTGGATTTGTTAGTTAGTATTTTGATTGAGATTGGGTCATCTAAGATTATGAAAAAGTTTGGCCTATAATTTTTCTTCCCCTGTTGACATTGATTTTGGTACCAAAGTCATACTAGCCTTATAAAATCAGTTAGAGAGTCTAACTACTTTTTCATAATATCTGGGAGAGTTTATATAAATTTGGAGTGTTCCCAGAGAATCTGATATATCTTGCAGTAAAACCTCTGAGACCTCCTTCCTCACACCCACCCCGCAACACCCTTTCCACTCCTTGATGAGAACACACTTAACTTTCAGTTCAATTTCTTCATATACAAATAGGGCTTTCTATTACTTCTCCTCCTGTTCCTGGTGGTGCAGTGGTTAAGAGTGGATAAGTGCTAATCAGAAGTTTGGCAGTTCAAATCCACAAGCGGCTTCTTGGAAACCCTATGAAGCAGTTCTACTCTGTCCTATAGGGTTGTTACGAGTCAGAATCCACTCAATGGCAATGGGTATTACTTCTCCTGTTCCTTCTTTTTGTCATACAGATATTCAATTGGTGCATTTATATCATAAATGGTTTACTTGTTTTTTAGTTTGTTTGAATCAGGACCCACATACCATCATTGTTTTTCATGAAATCTATTTGTTAAAGAAAATGGGTTTATTAATTCTTGAGTCAGTTTTGGGAAGTTATATTTTTCAAGAAATTTGTCTATGTTATCTAAGTTCTCAAATTAATTGGCAAAAAGTTGTCCAGAGTATTCTGCTTTAAAAAATCTGTTTTATCTATAGTTATGTGCTCTCTTTTGTTTTCTAATAATGTTTATTTGCATCTTCTCTCTTTTTCTCTTCATCCAGTCTTGTCAGAAGTTTATCAATTTAACAGCAATAACATTGGCTGTTTTAAAGAGCCAACTTTGTTTGGTAATTTCTTAATTTCTGCTTTTTAAAAAAAATTATCTCCTTTCTGCTTTGGATTTATTCTTATTCTTTTTATAATATCTTAAGTTGGACATTTTGCTTATTAATTTTCAACCTTTCTTCTTTTCTAATAGCAATATTTAATGGTACAAATTTCTTTTGAAGTGCAGATTTCATTGCATTACATAGCTTTTGATATGTAAAATTTTTTATTTTTGTTAACTTCTAAGAACTTTTTAAAATTTCCATTAATATTCCTTCTTTTACCCATGAATTATTTGAAAGTGTTTATAAATTTTCAAATATATGTGTTTTTTCTGGATTTTTTTTAGTTACTGTGATGGTTAAGATT